TGTTAAACCCGTATCACACTGAGAAAAATTTATTGCAGTTGATACTACATGACAGAACGCACGTAGAGACATTAAGGTGTTATATAATATCCCACGATATATTCATTCCATTTATTACGATCCTTTTGCAAACGCAGCGATTAAACTGTACTCAAGCCACTTAAGAACTCATTAATCTATCACGTAGAATATATTGAACCCATTGTTTGGTGATATAAGCTTCCTATTGTGTGAAGTTTTTAGCATGGGCTTATATTTAACAATAGCACGGAAACGCATTTATGCCGGTAACAAGAATCCTCAAATTAGTTATATAACATGTTCAAAGGTTGCATAACATTATGTAATGGTTTTAGTCCTCGAGAGCTATGTGAAAAATTTACACCATAATCTATAACACTTATGTGGAAACGGCGAGGTACATCGTAATACACAGCCCTTAATGATGGGAGAAGTAGACTCTCACTGGAAATTCAATGAGTTGCGCAAATTTGCTAGTGTCAATAATGGTCACTGTGTTCATGGTTAATTTGTTTCATAATTTGATTGGAGTCTTTGAATTTGGAATCTTAAGTAGTCGTGTATTTTTCGTGTTTTCAGTCGATTTAAGAACTATAGTCGGGTTATCCCTCTTCAATTTTACAGTAGAAGGGAGACTCAAAGACATGATCTGGAAAAATCCTTGACGGTTATGATTAAAGCATTATCCAATTTCACGTTGGAAAACGCGACTAGCTATGTATCTGTAAGACGCAAACTGAATGTTAATCGAGTTAAGAGCTTTGTTCGTGTTTTCCTCTTTGATGCTGAAACAACCTCCAATTGTTGTCTTTACATCTTTCTGCTGCATATAAAGCCACCGCTCGCAGTGAATCACAGGCAGCCCAAGCTCACTACTAGAAAAGCGGACGTGACTCTTAACGTGTTGCGCAACGTTTTATATTTATAAAGGTTTGTATGGGATGTTATCGGTTTGCCTTAAAAGAGAGAAAAAAATGTCTTGTTTTGAAATAAAATGGGCTTACCATATTGCTTTGTTGTTTTCTTTGTTGATTCCGAACGTCTCGGGCCATTTTGAAGCGTTTTTGGCGAGTTAGCGCTATTTTGGTATTCAACTAGCGCTAACTCGCCGAAAACGCTTCAAAATGGCCTAAGACGCTCGGAATCAACAAAGCAATAAGGTAAGCCCATTTTATTTCAAAACAAGACATTTTTTTCTCTCTTTTGAGGCAAACCGATAACATCCCATACAAACCTTTATAAATATAAAACGTTGCGCAACACGTTAAGAGTCACGTCCGCTTTTCTAGTAGTGAGCTTGGGCTGCCTGTGATTCACTGCGAGCGGTGGCTTTATATGCAGCAGAAAGATGTAAAGACAACAATTGGAGGTTGTTTCAGCATCAAAGAGGAAAACACGAACAAAGCTCTTAACTCGATTAACATTCAGTTTGCGTCTTACAGATACATAGCTAGTCGCGTTTTCCAACGTGAAATTGGATAATGCTTTAATCATAACCGTCAAGGATTTTTCCAGATCATGTCTTTGAGTCTCCCTTCTACTGTAAAATTGAAGAGGGATAACCCGACTATAGTTCTTAAATCGACTGAAAACACGAAAAATACACGACTACTTAAGATTCCAAATTCAAAGACTCCAATCAAATTATGAAACAAATTAACCATGAACACAGTGACCATTATTGACACTAGCAAATTTGCGCAACTCATTGAATTTCCAGTGAGAGTCTACTTCTCCCATCATTAAGGGCTGTGTATTACGATGTACCTCGCCGTTTCCACATAAGTGTTATAGATTATGGTGTAAATTTTTCACATAGCTCTCGAGGACTAAAACCATTACATAATGTTATGCAACCTTTGAACATGTTATATAACTAATTTGAGGATTCTTGTTACCGGCATAAATGCGTTTCCGTGCTATTGTTAAATATAAGCCCATGCTAAAAACTTCACACAATAGGAAGCTTATATCACCAAACAATGGGTTCAATATATTCTACGTGATAGATTAATGAGTTCTTAAGTGGCTTGAGTACAGTTTAATCGCTGCGTTTGCAAAAGGATCGTAATAAATGGAATGAATATATCGTGGGATATTATATAACACCTTAATGTCTCTACGTGCGTTCTGTCATGTAGTATCAACTGCAATAAATTTTTCTCAGTGTGATACGGGTTTAACATTTCATCACGATAAAGCTTAATACTCGCAAATTTTAACATCGAACTTGATCTCTACTTAGATAATTAATTTCACAAATTGTTATGTAGATATAACTTCAAAATAACCACATATCAACTGATTTTCATATTCCGAGGGCCACGTGCACGTAAGCGTACAACTCAAAACTCTGCCCTCAAAGACGAAAGATCACTAGTTTTGTTCAATTTAGTTGAAGTCGGGCTGATCGACCAGGGACCAGCTAACAGATCAGCGATTCTGTTAACACTACTTCGATTTTATTACAGAGAAGACTTCTTGCAAGACTTATGCACAGTCAAACTTCCCCTTCTTTAGTTAGGTTCTTTTGAAACAAATACAAAATCGATTGTCTCGAGTCAAGAAACATCTACACTCATAGCAACAGTACGTCGGAGAGAGCACAGTCTCCTAACCGTTGTTTGCTCTCTTCAAACATTTCACAGTGCATTATATGAATTAACAATTTAGGTAGAGGTAATTTAATATGACACAGCAACAAGAACTTTCCCACGTTTTCAAACACGTGTTTTAAAAACCGCGAAAGAAAAGCCGGGTGCGGAAGTTAATTATATTATGTAATTTACGAAAACTATTCTTTCACTTTCAACTGTCACTGAGCACTTGCTAAATTTTAGGACGAAACGTAATGTGTGACGTAACATGTGCTAAACATAAGTGAAACAAGAAAGATTTTCATGAAAATCGGAACGAAATAACATAATTCTGGAAACAGTTCCGCGCTATTTTCTGTAGCAGGTCTTTCCGTTCCCTATAAAAAACGCGTGAAGCGTGAGAATCGATCTCTCTACGCGAGGAGCGTGATAGCATAACCTGAGAGTCGCGAAACGAAAGCGGACAAATATAACTACGAACGTTGGGGGGGGGGGGCTTAAGGCTACTAAAGTTAAAAGAAAACAAACACTCACCCCTCCCAACGTGACTTTTCTTTCATAAAGCTCTTCTCTCTTTCGGCGTATTCGTCAGGAAATAATTTCTCCACAGTCTCTTTAATGATCACATTTATCTTAATGTTCCTTTCGACCCCGCAATTTAGAGCACGACGACAGTAAGGGCATTCTGATCTATAATCCAGCCCCCTGTGTAAGCATGTCCTGCAGAAGGTGTGTCCACAGGTTGTAGTGACTGGCTGATACAGAATATTATAACAGACTTTGCATTCCAGATCTTCAAGCTCTTTCACGGCATTAGCCTCACAAAGGTCAGTAGAATTTAAAATGAGTTCTGTCGCGGATTTGAAATACTTGGATCCCCATTCTCGCGAGCATAGTGAACAACTATCAGAAGTGTCTTCAATAGGACGCTTTAGGGAAGATCTCTTTTCAAGAAAACTCTCTCTAGGAGACTGATTATTTGCTTTGTCTGCGTGAAGGCTCTGACGTGCTTTGTCTCGGTTTAAATCTCTAAAATACTGTTCAGGGAATAGCTCTCTGCTCGGGTCAACCCGCTCAGAATCCAGCGTATGAGTCAGACAGGTTAGCAATTCTGACTGAAACTGCGCCGGGTCTACATTAGGATCTAGTGCTACGGCGCGCGAAAGACTACTTGCAGCGCGGTGGTAGTCTCCCATTGCCATTAACACCAGTCCACGGTGATGAAAAACACTCCAAAGAAACGGTCGTAAATCACAGGCAAGGTCGACGTCTTCTAGAGCCTTTTTGGGAAGCCCCATCTGTAAGAAGGCATGACTTCGCAATTTTAACGCCATAACGTGTTTTGGAGACTTGTTTAGGACGTCCGACAAGCTTTCGACGATTTTTTGATGGTTATCCTGTAGTTCACCTTGTATGGCTTTCTCCAAATGCTTTACTTCTCGTTGATACTCGCGGGGAAACCATTTTTGGATCAACTGTGAGACGAGAACGTTCACCGATAGATTATTTTCGTGATTTTTAGAACCACACAGTTTACAGTAGACAGCTGATATAGAAATTTCGCCGACTGGAACAATACATGTCTTGCATAACGTATGTCCACAGTTTAGCGTAACTGGCCCGATGTAGAAACATCCGCAAAGTGAACAAAGAAATTCTTTCTCTTCTCTCTCGTTCACGCCATTAAAAGCCTTTTCCTGAGCTACGATTTGCCTTTGAAAGTCCACCAACTTGTTAGCAATAGATATTACTGATTCAGCGCCAGGTACTTTCGCTGCCACCCTGCATGACAGATCTCTAGTGTCTGCGTGTAGCTTTTTGGTTAATTTCCATTCTTTCGATCGAAGGTCGCATTGCTCACGAGTCTTCTTTTCCATTGCTCTGAAACTTCCAGGATTTTTTCTTTCTATCCACTGAACCAGGATTATCAATTTTTAGACTCGCTGAGTTGATTTTGCCATACCGGGAACGATAATCGATGTTTTTGAATGAAGTTACCGAACAATAGAGAGAAAATCGTTAACTACACACTACGACAAGACATGAAATTCATAAGTGGAAACAACCTGACTGATGGTTTACAACGGCACAAAAAATATTTCTCATCCGACAGAAGGCAGCCATAACTTTCCTCTAAGCAAGTGAAATTCGACAAGACCGGCCGTGTACTATACCGGTAGCACTGGACATCACTGGCAATTCAATCTTAGGCTGTTTGAATATTACAACAAAGCGGACGTTACCAGGTTATGTAATCACTGTTGTTACATTCACGTGTAACGCTCACGCGTAAGGGATCTTAGTCTCCCCGATATCCAACATCACGATTCGAACTCAAGAACAAGAGATGCTAAAGACATATTCGTCTGACAAGATCAGGTATTTTTTTTAAGCTATTCACGGAAATTTTCCAGCACAAATCTCTAAAGCTTTCTTTCTTTTTGTACAACTAGGTTACGTAATAACCTCTAAAAATCTGCCCTCACGTGCAGACGCACATGTTCCAAAACACTTCACAATAAAAAAAAAAAAGAAATGAAATTATAAATGCCGTTTCACGCTAACTTTCGCTGTCTGATATCGAAAATAGTAATCGAAGACACATAAGTTTTTGGAAGCGTTATAAATTTATTAGAAGTATATTTCGTATCAGATAAAACATTATACAGCCATAGTTTTAGGAGCTGTTTATTCGAATAGCGAAAACAAAATCATAATGAAAATGGTCTTTCAGTGGACAGTACGCCATCTGAAGAATCTGTCAACCGTTTGTTTTGTTTGTTCAATTAATTGAATCGTCCGGTGGACATCGATTTCTACAATATTAACTCCCAAGATCTGTTTTTAAATTCTCCCCCCCTGCTGCTCTGCTGTTAAACATTTCAATTCTTGCAAATTGTTCTCCAACCTATACCTGTTTACCGAACAATGTATGGGGATTAAGGAGAGAAGTTACATGCTAATCACTTGTTGGAGTTAAAGGTTACATAATTGGTTCATAAGTCAGCGTGCGTTCATTGGGATATGAACCATGGGGAAGGTGTCGAGAGCAGAAGAGAAGCGTAGGAGCTGTTCTAGGCCGTGCCTCGAACAACTCTTGCCGCTTGAGTCCTCTCAAAATTTCCCGAGAACATCATATCTCCAAGCCGTATGAATCAAATGTTTTAAAATAATGTCAACGCAGCATTTTCTGTCATGAAATAATTGATTTAGTACGTGCGCTCTCATTTGTCAACTGGTCCGTTTAAATGTAGACACGGTTGTGACGCCACTCTTTTCATATTTGCCGGCACAATTAAAACATTTCAAACTCAAAGCTTTCGCAATACTTGCAAAATACTTTGAAGCGTAAATGACAAATAACAGAAATGGCTAAAAATTTGCCACATTTTTATTTGGAGTTTGGTTAGTTCCTCCCCCCCTTCCCCCCCTGAGTCCAAAAGGAAAAAAGAAAAAGAGAAAAGAACTTCAGCGCTTTAACTGCCTTAAAAGGGAGTTTAAGCAAATCACTACGGCTGGCGCTGCTACGGCTACCGGAGGTAAAGTTGTCCAGAAACGAGTCAATGCGCATGTCAGTGCTACCCATCCAGCCGTAGCGAGAAATCCTTCTACGCGAGTGGGAAGGTTTCGGCGTAGTCTGTGGTACGTGAACTTATCTCGCTTCTTTCTTCGCTGTATTCATTCTCCTGAGCAATTTTAACTATTGAAATACACTTAACATCTTTAAAAATAGCTTATCGGGAATATTTATCAAGCTTGCTGTCCCTTACCGAGTGAATCTGCCTTTACTTTTGCAGCCGGGTTTGTCGGAGGATCGAAGCAGTGTGCACATGGAGAACGCAGCGAACGCAAGGAGAAATGCGTTAGTAGAAAGTCTAACTTTTCCTTTAAAACCTCAAAGACTACTTGAAATTCAAATAGCTGACGCCGAGGAATGACGAGGGTCACGAGGGACGGTGAAGAAACTTTGCTTTGGTGTTTATAAACTCCAAACTGGCAATTTTACAACACGTAAGCTTAAATCTTTGAATTCACTCATTCACTGTGCACAGGATCGCTTACAATTTTTTTTTACAAACGTTGGAATCCCTCGTCCCTTTGAACGAAGTCATTTTGAGTTTTTAGACGTGCAAAAACTACCGCGAAGACGCTTAACTTCTCAGCCGTACTAGGTTTGTAGTTCGCGTTGCTTAAAGTTGAATTTTGGCGGGCTACGGCGACGTACTCTCCCCAAGCCTCGTCAACCACGATAGCCGTAGCAGCGCCAGCCGTAGTGATTTGCTTAAACTCCCTAATGATAAAGAGCTGGACTACCCCTTGGAGGCAGCAAAATGCCTCGAATAAACGATATCCAGGGAAATTATGTGCTAGAGCTCACTGACTAAGACCCAAACTGACAGTTCTTACAGATCGGTAAAAATTTTCGTTTTGCCGACCTCGTTTTCTTATGGCATCATCTCTTGTCTATTTACATGGAAAACTGGCTTTTGTTTTGCTTTTACTGAAAAGATAAGTGAGCAGAGAGACAGTGTACGTGTGACTGAAACCGTAAATTCAAACTTATAATTGTTCCGAAAAATGTAAATGTCAATCAGCTGTAGAGGCTATTTGTCATCGTCAAGGTCAACATGCACATTCCCGTCTTCATCATCATCTTCATCAGCATTATCATCATCATCATCGTCATCATCATCATCAAAGTCATCATCGTTATCACCTGGACGTTTCTCTATGAACACCTCCGTAACCGGCCGTTGTCCCAAAGGTTCAACTACAGTTACCGCGAAATAACAATGATATTCAGAAAATTTGTGTATTTCGTTCATTTAGTCAGTTATCTCTTAAGTCTTTTGTGTGTTGCTGATGTTAAGTACACCAACAAACTGCAAACCTGACTAAATGGCCTTTCGCTCATATTACTCTTGTTGACGATAGCCCAAATGAATTTCACTTTTTCCAGAAATCACCGATAATGATTTGATATGATTTACAGTTCGAAGTTGTTATCACGTTTGAATCAATTCACCGGCGGGCTCATGTATATCCTACGAACCCCAAATAGCTGCATGATTACTATCAGTGTTACCTGCGTGTTTCCTAGCAACAGCTGCCATGGCTGTAGTGTATGCACTTAGAGGTCTCGCTAAGGCCATTGGGTAAACAGATGCCCCCTTCATTCTAAAGAAAAGATAAACAGTTATGAGTCATTTTGTATTTATACTGGTCCTACACAATACCAATTGTAATTAATGTCAATTGACGATAAAAACTTTGCTTGATAACATTGTAAAATTTAAAAACGATAAAAAGCTATAGAAAGCTAAAATCGACGACGTTTCGACGTTAACATAACGTCATTATCAAGTCAAGACTGTATAAAAATAAGTTCTATCAATACTAAAAACGAACAATAAGAGAAAATAATTTGCGGGTTAAACAAAAAGTTTAGCACGTATGGAGTCCGTTTGTACGTTCAGACTGGGTTTGAATTTCTTAATATAAAGCATTTCAAACACTAAACAATCAAATTTGCTTTGACACTTTCTGAGAATCTTAAAATGACTATCATTTAAACGATCCCTCCTACCATGCACTTTATGGAAATGCTTGCCAATTGCCGAATTCTTGTGTTCAGCGACACGTTGAAAAAGGTGATTAACAAAATGAAAAACAACGCATCGCTGATTAACAATTGACGGCTTGGGTTCTTTAGGTTTTAGGTCTTGTTGTAATTTCTTGCTTACAAAAACTGGTTGTAAAACGAGGCAAATCTTATTACTGAGATCACACAGCTGTCTCCGAACAGAATTAGCTGAAACCTGATCTTTGAATGGTAGATTAATTCTGACTATGTTGCTCTCGTCAGCAATTCTCTCCGCTGTGCCTACAGAAAGTTTACGAGAAACAAAATTGGAAATAACAGAATCTGTAAGACTACAAGGGTAATCAAGACGGCTAAAATGGAGCGCAATTTGGCGCATTCTTCATTAAAAGCCTCTATTGTGGAGGATAGGGCATAAGCGCGATGTAACATTGTCTTAAATAAAGAGTCTTTATAGCGTTTTTCAGTATGACTGTGGAATTAATGTCAAAAACTTGAAAACTGTTATAATTGACACTAATCAAGAGATTATAACCTGCCGTTTATCATTTCTTGCACCAACACAGTCGTCGCAGTGAAAGATTTATGGAAAATCTTCGGGCGGGTAAAGGGCACTGGACTGTGCGACAAAAAAGGAGGATATTAACATCATAGGCCCTGATAAGATGGTATAACAACGGGGCTATACAAACAATTCCTTCATCCTGAGTGTACTTTGACAAAGTTTCCGGCGTCAAACGCAGACAATGCAAGAAATTAGGGTAACCTATTTTTCTTTAGACAATTTGCTTATAGACTTTAGAAAGATAAATTTACTCAAGAGTTTGAAAATTGAATTAATTTAACTTGAGAACACAAGCTGTAGTGGAATTTCAATACCTTACCTTTCAAATTGGCCCAGTCGTTTGGCAGGAGTCACTGGGTACCAAAGTTGAGTAAACGAAGGAGTGAGATCAGATGCGAGGCTGACTAGGGACTGTTTGTTGTTTGCCGGACTTGATTTAGTCCAGGTTTGCTCTCCTTTCAAACGATCCACTCTGACAGTGCCATGGACTGAGCAGAAATGGAAATTGAAAAATGAATAGGCTGAGACTTTACAACATTAAACCCAGTAAGGGTTCTCTCATACCTATGAACTCAAGACGAGTTCGAGAAAATATCTACTCTTAAATGATATATGCCCATGACTTTTTTAAGGGTGCCTAAGCATTTTTAGCCTCGATAGTCTCGATACCGACATCGAGTACAGCAATAATTTTCCTGACGAAATCAGGATAATATCTTCTTCTTGACAGAGCGACTAAATTTGTAGATTATGAGTTGCAATCAAGGAATAACATCACTTCGTAAACAGTTTTCATCATTTTTATGATTAAATGAACGGCCAGGATGTTAGATAGGGGTTCCTCTTGTTCCAAGTCGAAGTATCAGCCAAAGCCGACTTCTTCGCGAAGAAAGAAAACAAATTTTCGTAACCGGCATGCTACGACATGATCATCCGTGCGTGACAGCTTTAGGTAAGACGATAAAAATATTAGACCAATGAGAGCGCATTGTTGAGAGATGGTCAAGCGTTGATCAAAACAAAAACAAACAACTCCCGGACGCTGTGTCAAGGTTGATCATGCATTTCACCATAAATAAATGCAGAAGTTCAAATAACATGATACCGCTCGTGAGAAGAATATGATCACACAGTCACTCAAACTGTGACTCATTTCTTGCTGACCAACGGCCAATTTACAAATGAATGCCTCGAGAAAGTCGAGTCGTCGATGAACCTTCATTAGCACATCATGATCACGAAACTCTCAAATGATATATGAGTGTAAAGGTTCCTTACCTTGGCACTGTGGCGGTATAGTCCGTATGTCGACATCAATAAACACTGGCCTACATTTCAGGTCGACCATACAATGACTTCTGATTTCTGAACATTTCTCAGAGAAGCATGGATTAAAGTTGCAAATCACTTGAGGAATTTTTGAGTAGAGGCTGTCTATTCCTGTAAAAAATAAAACAATCAAGATGAATTGCTCCGTTGTGAAATCCTTTTTTTGAAGACTCGAAGACTTAATTTGACAATACGTTCTTCTAGAGCTGTGTTGGAGAACCGTCTGTCCCCCGAGCTGAAAATATACTTACAAATTATGCAGATCAATATTGTGTACAATTTTCCCGAAGTGATTGCTAACAAGAATACACTTACGTATGATGCACGATATATGAACTTCATATATTTCATTGTATCTGAAGAATACACTTACAATGTGTGTTCGGTTGATACTAGAACAAATTGTTTCGAACTTCTGTCGCGATTATGTGTGATCGAGACGCGGATAATATGATGCGGATATACAAACCATATGATCAGAAGTTAGAAGAAAGAGGAAAGAAAAAAAGAATGGCGCCAGTCAATCTTTCTTATCGAACGCGGGGTCACTGAGAGTGAACATGTGAGAAGATGAATATATTTAGCCCTAAGCTGTGGGTGGCTCTGTAACGTTGTGTGTTGACAGAGAAGCTTCAGGAGACGACTTCCCCCTGACTTTTGGCAGGATTTTTCTCCGTTTGGTGAAGGAAAAAGTGAGGGAAAATGGAATTCGATGAGCCCTACAATAGCTAATCTCGAGGATCCTGTTTCTGGAACGACAGGTGTTAAATGTAATTAGTTAGGCCACTGAGTTCTCTCTTACATTGCAAGAGAAACTTACCCTTGCAGTTTGGAAGCATTTTCCCATTGATATTGAAAAACGTCGGATTGCATTCGAAGTCGGTAATGCAACGCGCAGCTGGGTCATACAGACATCCAACCTCTTCACAAGGGTTGAAATCACAAAAGGTCTTTGGATCAACATTTGCAACTTGCAGACCTGAATTGGAGACATAATATCCAATAGCTTGAACCTCTAGAGTAAAATGAGAGGCGTCTGTTTTCAAATAACCGGTGATATGTTGAATCTCACACACTTGGACGCTCAAAATCTTGAAAAGTATGGCGTTTAGATTCGCGTGCGACAGATAGAAGCAACCAGGGGATAACAAAAATTATATAAA